ATTATCATTTTAGGCATCTGAACATTGCACTAGAAGAAAGATGCGGTGGTCACGGAAGACGGGATCATCGATATCCTCTAGCACTAACCCCAGAACCTTGTAGTTGCCTCCTGCATTGTCCCACTACGGCAGTTTTGATTGTATCTGCTTGCTCGAAAGCCTAGTTCTGCCCTATCTAAATCTGGTCACACAGCTTGTTGAGGTCTGACCCTCTCTCGTGTGAACTGCACATAGCGGGTCGACAATGTTCATTCCGAGGACACTACCTACACTAACTTGGAAGCTGAGCGGAGAAGTCCCCGGGCCGGCCCGCGCAACCAACTAACTCAGCAGGGACCGACCCTGTGACGCGGGTGCTGCTAGTGCCTGGCGCCCGACTGCGGGGGTCTGAGCCAGGGCCAGCGGCATACCAATGTCAACCGGGGCGCAGGGCTGGTCCCCGGCTGGAACTCCGATGCCGCCTTGCAGCAGCGCCTGGTGCATCCGCCGCAGGCCCTCCTCCAGGCGGTCGCGCGGGTGCGCAAAGACGATGCGGAACATGTCGGGCGACTCGCTGTCGAAATTGTCCCCGGATGCCAGGTACACCTTGTGGCGGCGCAGGGCATCGCGCACGTCGTCGGCGATGGTCGTCGCCTGCTCTCGCTCCGAGCGCGGGTGGCAGCGGCGGTACGCCCAGCCGAGGTCTGCCCACACAAACAGCGCGGCGTGCGTGCCGGCCGCAAAGGGGATGCCGTGGCGCTGCAGGAAGTCGGTGGTGAAGGCGTAGGCGGCCGCCAGGCGCCGGCGGTTCTCGGCCAGGTAGGCGCTCGTGAAGGCGTCGTCCTGCAGCACCTGCGTCACGACGGCATCGGCCAGGGACGACGCGTACGAGTAGATGGCGATGGAGCTCAGGGCCGCGCGCAGTGCCGGGTTCCGCGGCGACACGAGGCATCCCACGCGCCACCCGTTGGCGCCAAAGTCCTTGGATACCCCCCACAGCACGTGGACCAGTGCCGGGTCGATCAGCGAGTCGAGGTCCAGGGCCAGCACCGACGTGAAGGTGGGCGCGTCGCGCCACACGGACAGGGCGTAGACCTCGTCGCTGACGAGATGAAGCTGATACTTGTTGCAGAGGGCCGCCAGCGCCACGAGCACCTCGCGCGGGTAGCAGCGACCGAGCGGATTGTGTGGCGAGCACAGCAGCAGGCCCCTGACCACTTGGCCCTGCTCCCTTGCCCGCAGCAGCGCCTCCTCGTAGCACCGCACGGCCGGCAGACTCAGGGGGTCCACGTCGCCGAAGCTGGCGGGGACGGTCCGGACGTGAGGGCGCAGGCGGAGCGTGATCTCGCCGTAGTAGGGGCGGCCCACCAGGAAGGCCTCGCCCGGGTCGGCCAGCGCCCAGGCCACGTGCTCCAGCGCGCTGGAGACGCCGTTGGTGACCATGATGTGCGCGGCATCCAGGGGCCGGTGCGTCGCGAGGTGGCGGCTGAGGAATCGGGCGAGCGCCTCCCGTAGGCGATGGCTGCCCAGCGGCCCGTCCTGGTACGTCACGACGCTGCTCCGGAGTGCGACGTGCTTGGTGACATAGTCGCGTAGCTCCGCTTCCATCAGGTGGTTCTCAGCCACGCCCAGGTTGACGGCGCCAGTTGGGTTAGAGTGCCGGTCCCATGGGTTCTTCATCACTTCCCACATTTCGTTGAATGCATTGCCCGGGACCTGCTCCCGCCCTCGTTTCGACAGCATCGCACTGGCCGGGGGAAAATGGGGGACTCAGGGCGAGGGAGGTTGGGAGTCCGATTGTCTGTACTTCGTACTGGTGTCGCTCGCAATGGGGGTCGACATAGGCGCGGGGGGTGCTGAGCCTGACCCGTCGCAGCAACGTGCCGGGAGAAGAGAAAGCAGTGAAGCTCCTTGTGGTGAAAATCGAGCTGGGGTTGGTTGCTGTCAGGGTTCAACTAAGGATGTGATCGGTGTGTGTCTGCTATTGCTATTGCTATCATAGGCTCCAGCTGGCAGTCTCATTGCGCAGCTGGTTATGTCCGGAACCCGGACTCGTCCATTCGCCTGCGCAGCGGCTTCCCGCTGAGATTGCATGGAGCCTCCCGATCCCCTGTCAGCACCCTAGGTATCTTGCCTTCCAGGTCATGCCTTCCGGGTCAACCGTAGGCTGTTACACCACACAAACCCCAAATTGGATTACATGTAGCTATCTGAGTTGACAGATTCAGAGGCCGCGGTCACCACAATGTTAGGTCCTCAGTCTTCCATCACAGAGTTTGAGGTGCATCAATTCGAACTAGAACGCCCAAGTGGGTTTCACAGTGCCGCGCCAGAGTCAAAGTTGGAGTTGGTGCCTTGTGGTGAGAAAGTAAGGTATCTCAACCGGGCCGAGTTGGGAATACTCCGCTCTCTTGCTCTGAACACAGTGTCCTGCAGGTCGAGCATCCGGTGCCATGTATTCGTATTTGCCGCGGGATGCGATAGAAGGCCCGGTACCGGTTGAATGTCTGACAACACAGCACAGCACAGCACAGCACAGCACGGCATGCAGATGCAGAGCTCAGACATGACCCATCACCACACCATGAGAGGGGGTGGACGTAAGATCTGGGTTGTCGCGGCAGACGACTGAAATTCCTTGTTCGGAATGGCGCGCGACACGATTGAAGCTGAAATATAGTGTAGCATGCCCTGCCGTCTTCGTCTTCGTTCGGAATGGCGCGCGACACAATTGAAGCTGAAACACAGCATGCCCTGCCGTCTTCGTCTTCGTGCAGAGCTTGATGCATGGCATCTGCCAGCCTCTATTGGCCTCCAGATGAGTCCTGTGGAAGTGATGATAAACCATGCATGCAGCCGCGATGCCGAGGGCTGCGGGATATCTAGCATCTTAGATCTACATGACACACCACACCGGTCAGTTAACCACGTTGACGATGATTGGTTCTCTGTTGGCGGGGTCAATTCCCCGCATAGTTTCTCCTTGCAGATTCCTCAGCCGATGGCGCACTGCATGTAACTATCCGATCAAATAGTGCAGGTCGGCTCTGGACCGAGGCGCCACGCCGATTGAAGGACAACGCCGGTTGGTTGGAAGGGAACTTGGAAAACGAGACGTCCATGTGACGAACTTATATGCCCCAACTACGTGTCCCAAGAAGCCACTAATGTAGAGATCCCTGGTGATATAATCTATTCATACTAGCCAATCTTGCCATCTTTGGGCAGCCCCGCGGCGGAGGGCATCGAGCGCATCGCCGTCATCGCAAATGCCCAGCATCTTATCTGTGACGTACCCTGCAAGTTTCTGTGCCTCTAGCGACCACGACTCCACCTCTTCCCGCGTATAGCATGCGAAGTCGTTTGCCTGCCCGGGCATCGGGTCAGCGCCGCGTCGGGCTTGTGACGGAGAGCGGAGAGAGGGAAAGAAAAGGGCCACCAACCTCTGGTCGCACCCACGAGCGACAATAGAAGATGGCATACATGGTCCGCGGATCTGGCGTCGTGTTGGCTCCTCCGGCATGGAGTGTCGAAGTCAGGAAGAGGAGGGCCTCGCCGCGCGACAATTCGGCTGTTGCAACTTCATGCTCCTGGGCTGTTCTCGCATCCCCCCAGAGGTGAGATCCGGGTACGACCTAGGGCATTGACGTCAGCTCAGCAGACATAGGCCCGACGAGAGAGGTTGGGGGAACGTGGTGTTGAACGTGGTGTTCATCCATCGCCTACCAAAGTGGCTCCATTTGCATAAGTGGTATCGACGGCAGCGACCAGCATGCCGATGCCCAAGTCGGAACCCAGGCGATAGCCTGTCTGCTCCTGACTGGTGTGGGCCTTTTGCCAGATGGCATCGTCGCGGTGCAAAGGCTGGGCCTTGCCGCCCTCCAAGATGGTGATGCTGGCCGCCTGGGACAGCATGGCGTCGGTGCTGCGCCCGCTGGTGCTCTGGGAATCCACGTCGGCCGGGTTGGTGGTGCGTAAAAAATGGTTGACGATTCTTAGGAGGTCAGGGTTTAGACACCATTGCTCTCTCGCTGTTGCACTGCGCCCAAAGAGCAATCCAGCATGCATACGGCCGTTGTAGCGTGCTTTCCACCCCTAGAATCAACATTTCCAAGTTGTTAGCTGTTAGCCCTTGCAGGCGAGATCGAAACCACTCGTCTTCCCAAGTGACTTGCCTCATCTGACATCCTGGACTCCATCACCTGTCGAGTATCTTGGTACACTTGTTGGAGCTGCTCGGGGGATGCTAGCCCGGTGATAATCACGCCGCCATCCTGTTCAAGCACCTCGATGGCTTTCTCCGGAAGGTTAAGAGGGGCTTTTCGCAGTCGCAACATGGTGAATGCTGAAGCGGGAGTAGTGTTATGGATTGGCTCGAAAATAGGGTCAAAATGATAATGGTTGTAAGCACCGGGGACTCGGGAGCAGATTGGAGCAGGCACACGCCATGGCCCCCGACAACGTGCTGAAGACGCAGACGCGGAGCCTGCATGTGGTACACTGAGTACCACCTATTGTCCTATCGAGACATGGGAAGCGAAGCGCTTTGCAGCCGAGATCGGAAACCCCTCACTACCTTGAAGGCCAGATGGGATCGGGTCATGCAGTGTAAGCCGTTGACTCCCCTCACGACCGTTGCTGTGCGACCTGTCTTGGTACCATTGGTACCTGAGGTACCTACCCGGTATGTACATACGTGCATGGCCATTGCCCGAAACTGGAGTTGAACACCTTCCCGGCCCCACTCCATCACTTTCGCCATCGTGTCGACGAGCCGTAATTACATGTAGGTACCTAAGGTGGGTAGGTACCGAGCTTTAATGTTCAAGGAGACAACGTGTATTGCCTACTTGGTACTTGCCTTCTAAAAATGGTTTGATGTACGACGCGAGACACATTTTAAGGCAGCGAATACATCTAAAGCAGAAATAACATCAAAGTATGCGACCAGACTTCGCCCGAGGGTATCATTAAAAAGAAGCAAGCTGAACATCTTGTCTAGACACAAACGCCAGGGCACAATGGCTACGCCTGTTGCTGAAATGGGCACAGACGCAGACGCAGACACCGGCACAGCCATGGCCCAAGACCTTGACTTGGACATTAACCAGTACCATCAGTGGAATGATCATATCGACTACGCAGACGACCCTTCGGCCCGGGTGCACGACCTAATCGCGGCGCACATGGCCCGAGATCCCTCGGCGCCGGCCGCGTGCGCCTGGGACGGAGGGTGGACGTATGACGAGCTCGACCGGCTCTCGTCGGCCCTGGCAAGCCGGCTGGTCGCATGCGGCGTGGCGTGCGATGACTTTGTCCCAATCTTCGTGCCCAAGTCGAAGTGGACCGCCGTCGCAGTCCTGGGCGTGGCTCGGAGCGGCGCGGCCTTTGTGCTTCTGGACGAGGCGCATCCGCCGCGCCGCCTGCGGGAGATTTGCGCCGAGATGCGGGCCACGCTTGTGGTGGCGGCCGAGGACCTGCGGGACCGAGCCGGCCAGTTAATCGATGGCGACTGCATCCCCGTTCTGGTGGTGGGGGACTCATCCCTCCGGACCTGGGTAGCCGAGGACGACAAGGCCTGGCGCGCGTCGCGCGTCACCGGCGCCAGCGCGCTCTACGCCGTCTTCACCTCGGGCTCGACGGGCCGGCCAAAGGGGGCCGTGGTGGAGCACGCCTCGCTCTGCGCCGCGGCCCTGGCATCAGGCCGCGTGCTGGGGATGGGCACCCAGAGCCGAGCCTTTCAGTTCGCCTCGTTCGCCTTCGATCCCACCATCATGGACTTCCTACGCACGTGGGTCTATGGCGGCTGCGTGTGCATTCCGTCGCCTCAGCAAGCCAAGGACGACATTGCCGGTGCTTTCGAGATGCTCCGGGCCAATATGGCCACCATGACGCCCTCGGTGGCCCGGCTGTTGGACGCCGAGGCGCTCCCGGGCCTGCGCCTGCTCGAGTTCGCCGGCGAGCCCATGCTCCAGACTGACGTGGACAAGTGGACGGACAGAGTCGTCCTCGTCAACTCGTATGGAAATGCCGAGTGCTCTGTGTACTCCAGCATGCGGTCCCCGATGCGTCGCGACCTCCGTACTAACAATATTGGTTTCCCCGTGGCCTGCGTCGCTTGGATCGTCGATGAGACGGACGCCGACATCCTGCTTCCGCCCGGGCAGGTGGGCGAGTTGGTGCTCGAGGGGCCCGGTGTTGGTCGTGGATACCTCCACAACACCGCCATGACCGCCGCGGCTTTCATCACCAACCCTTCCTGGTTGGTCAGGTTCCGTGGCTCCGCGGCGCGGGGTACGCGTCTATACAAGACGGGTGATCTAGCGCGGTACGAAGCGGACGGGTCGCTTCTGTGCCTGGGCCGCAAAGACACACAAACCAAGATTCGCGGGCAGCGCGTCGAGCTGAGCGAGGTGGAGTGGCATATCCGGGACCTGCTGGGGCCGGAGAACGACGTCGTCGCCGAGGTGGTACGCTGGAAGGAGGGTCGCGCGGCGCTCGTGGCCTGCGTCCGGCTACGGCAGGCCCCGAGTCCGAGTCCATCAAACGAGAGTGAGCAAGAGCTGCAGCTGCTCGCACCACCCAACGACGCCTTCCGGCACAAGATGGAGGACGTGGAGCGCGCGCTCCAGTCCCGGGTGCCTGCGCACATGGTGCCCAGTGCCTTCGTCGCGCTGTACCGCGTCCCTCTCTCCCTCTCAGGCAAGACGGACCGCAGGCGCCTTCGAGACCATATTGCCGAGAGACCCTGGGCCGAAGTGGAGGCCTATATGATGACTAGGACAGCCGACGATAGTCATCCGTCCCATTCACCGAGCACAGAGGGGGAGCGGCGGCTTCGAGACGCCTTTGCCCAGGTCCTGGGCATCGAAGCAGTGGCCATCGGCCTCCGCGATTCTTTCTTCCGGCGCGGGGGCGACTCGATCTTGGCCATGCAACTGAGCGCCCATTGTCGTGGGCTGGGGTTCTCCGTCACGACACAGGACGTTTTCCAACACCAAACGATTGCGGCCCTGAGTGACGTCGTTGCCGTCAGGGGGTCAGGGCCACAGCAGGGCCGGCCCCTTCCACTCTCTCCAGCACAACACATGCTGATTCAAAGACACGGCCGCCCGGCTAAGGGGGAGGGCAACGAGGTCCACCGGGATGAGTCGAGGCTCTATGGCTTCCGCATCATGCGCGTACCGGGATCCCTTCATATAAGCCAACTGGAGTCAGCATTGCAATACCTCGTGCGCCGGCATCCCGCGCTCCGGACTAACTTTATCCTAGGCGCGGAAGGACACTGGCAGCAGGTGGTGAGAGAGTCGGGCACCCAGAGCTATTTTTTGTGCGAATCGGTGCATACTCCGGCGACGACCAAGGCGGGTACGGACCCCGATCCCAATCAACCCCAGCGGGAACCGCACTACGGGTGTTTGAATCTTGGCGATGGTCCGATACTTGGGGCCCGGCTCGTCCGTGTGCAAGGCAGCACAGGGCCCCAGTACCTGCATCTGGCTGCACCCCTGGTTGTGGTCGATCATCTGTCGTGGGATATCATCACTCGGGACCTGCGCGACTATCTGGAGTCAGGAGAACAAGGCGCCCTGGCATGTGCTCCTGCTAGTTCGTTTCAGTCGTGGCTGATCGGGAAGTCGCCGTCGCCGCCATCAGAGCCCAAATCTGAAGCCAATGGAGCAACCGGGATACTACCTTCGCTATTCGGGTTCGGATTCGGGTTCGCCGGCGATGGGGATCACCTAGCTCTGGACAAACCATTGGCCGAGTTCGAGCTGGACGCCAATACAGCCACCAGACTATGGCAAGAGGGCGCAGAAGCTTTTCGTGCTGACCCCAAGGAGTTGTTCCTGGGCCTTCTGCTCCATTCCTTGCAGTCCACCTTCCCAGGGCAAAAGAAGGTTTGTGTTTTGGTCGAATACGATGGGAGAATGCGAGATGCCGCAGACGTGGTAGGCCAATATACAACGTACGCATCGCTGGTATTGTCCTTGTCAACAGACACAGACTTGCCCAACATCATGGGTCAAGTAAAGGATGCGTTTCGAGCCGCATCCAGGGGATATAACGGCGTCAGCCACGTGCCCATGCCGGGTGAACATGGACAGGCATTCATCGTCCTGCGCTGGAATACAAAGGCATCTCCGTCGGCATCTGCCATCGAGGCTGAAACGGAGATGTGCCGACTCCTCGGACCATCACTCCTTTCGACTGGGCATGATGAGCCTCCAGCATCACATTTCCAGCCCGGCACCCTGGACATGGCGGTGACATGCACACGAGAATCCCCATCGCTCCGCGTCCAGCTGGCGGATGCCCAGGAGGGATTGGTCGAGAACGGTGTACGCCAGTGGATCGAACGCTGCCGGGCCTCGCTGGCTGAGTTCCCACCGCGATGGAGCGCGGCCAAGCTGCCACCACGGGTCAGCGATTTCCCCCAGCTCGACAGCATGAGCCAAGAAGACCTCGGGTCCATGATCGAGGACCTCGTCGCGCAGAATGGCGGACTGGACACGCGTGACATCGAAGACATCTACCCCGCCGCATTCATCCAGCAGGGCATGCTGCTCAGCCAGGCCCGCGACCCATGGACGTACCGCTCATCCACAGCATGGAGGGTGCGCCCGCGGTCGTCACGCGACGGGAGGCAGCATCCAGTTGACCTGGCCCGGCTCCACGACGCCTGGGTCAAAGTGGCCATGGCTCACTCGATTCTGCGGACAGTCTTTGTACAAGCTCGTGATGGTGCTTATTACCAGGTCGTCCTGAAACAACCGGTTCTACCCATTACAGCATGTGATCTCGATGGCAGTCATGTTCCCGTTGCAGCGCCTAACAACGAAGGGAACCTAGGCGAGAACCAGATGCTCCCATGGAAGATTGAGCTCGTGGCCACTACTGAGCGAGGCGGAGGTGGAATAATAACCTGTCAACTCGACATCAGTCATGCCCTCATGGATGGCGACTCGGTGCGCGTGCTGATTCGCGACGCCGGGCTGGTATACGAGGGAGGACCTCGCGCTGCTGCATTGGACCCTCCACCGTACGGCCAATATATTGACTATCTGCGGCAGGTTTCTCATGACGGTGCCCTCGAGTACTGGAAGACCTGTCTTCAAAACGCCGAACCCTGTTTCTTCCCTGTCTTGTCCGTCTCCGAGAGCGTCGAGTTCGACGCTGAGCCCCTCCAAGAGATTGCAGTCGTCCTGGACGACGTCTCCCGCCTCTTGCAGTTTTGCGAAACCGAGGGAGTGACGTTGTTCAACGTCATACAACTCGCCTGGGCCATCGTGCTCCAATGCTACACGGGGAACGACGCCGTCGTCTTCGGCTACCTGACATCGGGCCGTGACGTCCCCGTCCATGGCGCCCAGGACATGGTCGGCCCGCTGATCAACATGCTCATCAGCCGGGTCGATCTCGATCGCAAAGGCGTCCACGTCCGCCAGGGCCTCGTGCAGTGCCGCGACGGCTTTACGGCCAGTCTTCCCCACCAACATTGTGCCTTGTCCGACATCTACCGTGCGCTGGGGCATTCGGGCGCGGGCCTTTTTAATACCATCATCACCTATGAAAAGGTCCTGCCTGTCGAGGCTGAGCGGAGCATCGACTTTGAACGCATTCGGGACCGCCAACCCACCGAGGTGAGTACATGTGCCTAACCGGCGGCCTCCTGGAGTCCTGCTCCTCTTCCCAGAGTCGCGACTTGATGCATCGGAAACATGTAAAGGCCTGGCTGCTGATCTAGAATGCATTGCATGGTACATATAGTTCGACATGGTCGTAAACGTCACCGTTTCCCGCGATACCATCGACCTCTCTCTCACTTACAGGGCGGAGAAGCTCCCAGCTGTCATCGCAGGCAGCCTCGGGCGCACATTCACCACCGTCATCTCGGAAATCGTCGCGCGTCCGGATGCCAGCGTGTCGGAACTGAACCTCGTCAGTGGGTTTGATTTAGCTCGCATGCTCGCATGGAACAACCCGCCCGCCATGCCTGCCAATGAGCTCGTTCAAGGCCGGATCCGGAGCATGGCCCTCGAATACCCCGAGCGCGTTGCCGTCGATGCTTGGGACGGTGTCTTGACGTACCGCCAGCTTTGGGAATACGCCGCCGGTCTTTCTGCCGTTCTGCAGCGCCATGGCGTGCAGGGCGAGGTCGAGATGCCCGTCCCCATTTGCCTCGAAAAGTCCGTTTGGGTGCCGGTCTGTATGTTGGCCGTCCTGCTGGCCGGCGGGGTCTGCGTCCCCATCGACCCCGGCGCCCACGTGGAGCGGGTGCGATCCATCATCGCGGAGACATCGCCATCCATCGTGCTGGTTTCGCCGCTGGCCGCGCAGACGGTTGATTTCGGCGTTACTCCTTGTCGGAAAGTCGTGGTCTCGCCGGACCTATTCATCTCCTCGCGACATCAAGAGGAAGAGGAAGAGGAAGAGGGTACGAAAACAAGGCCACAAGTGCAGCCCGAGAGCGCCGCTTTCTTGCTGTTCACCTCGGGGAGCACGGGCCGTCCCAAGGGCATCATTCTCCAGCACGACAGCCTCAGCACCACACTCCGGGAGCAGCGGGCCCGTCTGCTTCTGGACTCGGCGTCCCGCGTTCTGCATTTCGCGTCCTATACCTTCGACGTCAGCGTCTACGAGATACTTTCCACTCTCACGGCGGGGGCGTGCATCTGCATTCCGTCCGAGGCCGCGAGGGTGAACGATTTGCCTGGGTTCATCCGCGACAGTCGGGTCAATTGGATGATATCTACCCCGTCGCTCTTCCGCCTGTTCCGGCCCGAGGACATACCCGCCGTGCGCACGGTCAGCCTGGCGGGCGAGGCCATACCGCAGGACATTGTCGACATCTGGGCGGGCCGGGTCCAACTGTTCAACGCCTATGGCCCGGCCGAGTGTACGGTCTGTAGTACCCATAAGATCGAAGCCGCCCATGACTGGATTCCTGGCACAATTGGGCGTGCCGCTGGCGGGGAGGCTTGGGTGGCGGATCAGTTCAGCGTCGATCGACTCGTGCCGATGGGTGCTGTAGGAGAGCTGCTATTCCAGGGCCCTGTTGTGGCCCGTGGGTATTTCCAGCAACCGGACGCTACGGAGAAGGCCTTTCTTTTGAGACGGCCACCATGGCTACCCGCTTCCTTTTCCGAGGGCCGAGGTGCCCTATATCGGACGGGCGATCTGGTGTCCTACAATGCCGACGGCACTCTGCGCTATTTGGGACGCAAAGATGCGCAGGTGAAGCTGCGGGGGCAGAGGATCGAGCTGGAGGGCATCGAGTTCCAGATCAGACGCCATCTTCCTACCGATTACAGCGCTGTGGTAGATGTCTTTCAACCGGACAACAACCACCAGGACGCGGCGGAGTTTCTGATTGCCTTTATCCAAACAGGATCAGTAACGGGAACCCAAGACGGTGGCGGAGTGGAACTCATGCGAGCCGACGAGCCTTTCCGCAGCCTGGTCCATGAGGTCCAGGCTAAGCTCACAGCTGCCGTGCCCAGCTACATGGTTCCCCAGCGGATGATCCCCATCAAGCGGATTCCCCTATCCAAGACAGGCAAAACCGATCGCCGGATCCTGAGGGATGCGGTAAGGGCACTATCACGCGCCGACTTTGAGAGGCTGGTCCAGGGGCAAGAAGAAGGGCCAAAGCCTCAGCCAGCCACGCCGGCCGAGGAGGCGATGCAGCATCTGTGGGCCACCGTTCTGAGTCGACCACCCGAAGCCCTCGGAGTCCAGGACAACTTCTTCCAGGTTGGCGGCGACTCGGTCACGGCCATGAAGCTGGTGGGGCTTGCGCGTGCCCAAGGACATGCCCTGGCCGTCTCGGACGTCTTCAACCGGCCCACTCTCGCAGGTCTGGCGGCAGGACTGGAGGGGGCATCGGCTGCATCGCCTCTGTCCCCAAGACCACAGTACATTGCCTACAGCCTCGTGCCATCCGATCAGCGCATAGAGACGCTCCAAACAACGGCCGTAGAGAGTTGTGGTCTGGCTTCGGACGAGCTCGAGGATATGTACCCATGCACGGCGCTCCAAGAGGGTCTCATGAGTCTCACCATCAAGCACCAGGGCTCGTATGTTGCGCAGTATCAGTATGAACTCGGCCATGGCATAGAACCCCGTCGCATGGCCAGCGCCTGGAATGCCGTCGTGGCGGCAAACCCTATCCTACGAACCCGCATTATACAAGCCTCCTCGGGCCGTCTGTTCCAAGTCGTGCTACGGCACGGTGGTACTGCCTGCCATGTCCAAAGTTCGGGTCTCGAGGAGGCTAACAGGGAAGCAAGGGAGCGACGGATTGGTCTGGGAACACCTCTGATGCAGTGCTACGTGGCCACCGAGGGTGACAAGGCCCAACTTGTCCTCACCATCCACCATGCTCTCTACGATGGCTGGTCCATGACGCTTCTACTGGAGCAGCTGGAGTCGGCCTATCGTGGCCAACCGCCAAAACCCCGGTCCTCCTTCACCGGATTCATAGACTACGTGGGACGTCTGGATCCTGCCGAGTGTCGTACGTTCTGGCGGGCCTACTTCGAGGGGACCGCCGCCGTCGTGTTCCCTGCGACGAGGAACCAGGGACGCGACCGACATGCCCCGGTAGCCACGGAGCGGCAGCTCGTCGAGCAGAGAAGGGACTTGCCAGAAGCAAGCTCCCGTTTCACCCTCTCGGCCACTGTGCGTCTCGCGTGGGCCCTTGTCATGGCAAAACACACCGGTTCGGACGATGTCGTGTTCGGAGCGACGGTTGCCGGGCGCAGCGCTCCTGTCAATGGCATCGAGGAGATGACAGGCCCAACCATCGCCACCGTTCCACTGCGGGTCCAGATCCGTCCTTCTTGCACCGTGGAGCAATGTTTGGAACAAGTACAGAAACAAACAATCGACATGATCCCTTACGAAGGAACCGGACTGCACAACATCCAAGCTATGGGCTCCGACGCGGCTACGGCATGCCAGTTCCAGAACTTACTCGTGGTTCAGCAAGAGGGGAGCTTCTATCGGCCCAAACTATTGCACGAGGTGCACCGGTCCACGGAGAATATTGCCGCTATCAACACCTACCCTCTGACGCTGCTATGCAATCTGAACGGCGACCACGTTCTAACACAGGCATCTTTCGACTCGCAAGTCCTGAGTGCGGCCAAGGTCCAACTTCTCGTCGGCCAATTCCACAACGTCATCCTCCAGTTGCTAGGCCCCCCGTCTCTCGCCCTTGTCGACATCGCTTTGGACAGTTTGGACGGAGAGGAGATGCTGCACCAGCCACAACAGCTACAACAGCTTCAACGCTGGAACCAACACATGCCAGCACCAGCACCGGCATCGACACCGGCATCGGCACCGGCACCGGCAGATACCACCGTAGATGCCCTCATTGGACGCCACTTCGACGGCCGACCCGATGCCCCCGCGGTTCATGCCTGGGACGGACAACTGTCGTACGGGGAGTTGGACCGCCTGTCGGCGCAGCTGGCCCGGGATCTTGTACAGAGGGGCGTCGGACCCGAGGACATGGTGCCCGTGTATCTGGAGAAAGGCAAATGGACGCCCGTGGCCATGCTCGCCGTTCTCCGGGCGGGTGGCGCCTTTGTCTTGCTGGACCCGGCACATCCGCTCGATCGCCTGAAAAGCATCAGTTCCCAGCTAGGGGCCGGGCTCTTGCTGTCCACAAACACCTTGTCCTCGACCGCCCCGCGACTGGCTTCCGATGTCCTCTATCTAGACCAGCGGGACTGGGACTGGGACTGCGACAAGCCGCCGATGGCACCGCCGATGGCACCGCCAATGACACCGCCATTTGGCACCGGGCATGGCTCCCGGAACAGACTGTACGTTGTTTTCACCAGCGGCACGACGGGGACCCCCAAGGGCGTCGTCATCGAACACGGTGCCTTCCTAGCCAGCGCCTTGGCAATACAGGACAAGCTGGGTCTAGGGCCCTCCACGCGGGCTTTGCAAGCGACAGCCCACGCATTCGATGTCGCCATCTTCGACCACTTGGCTGTCCTCCTGGCTGGTGGTTGCCTATGCATACCCCGCACAGGGCAAAGCCAAGCCGATCTAGGCGGTGCCATCAGGGAGCTGCAGGCCGACTATGCCATGATGACACCATCCATGGCCGAGCTTATCCGACCCGACGATGTGCTGCCTGTCTTGCGCACACTGGCCCTCGTCGGCGAGCCCATGACGGCAGGCTCGGTGGCCACCTGGGCTGACCGCGTCAAGTTGATCAACGCGTACGGCCCCGCGGAATGCTCTGTCAATTGCACCATCCGGGTCCCCGTTTGCCCCCAGGGCCAGGACCACCACTCCGCCGCCGCCAACATTGGCTTTGCGACCGGCTGCGCGACCTGGGTGGTGGACAAGGACGATCACGACAAGCTAGCGCCTATGGGGACGGCAGGTGAACTGCTGGTCGAGGGCCCGATCCTGGCGCGCGGGTACCTCGACGACGAGACCAAGACGCGAGCATCGTTCATCCTCGATCCGGCGTGGGTGCGACAGCTGCCAGTGCCAGTGCCAGTGCCAGCGCCAGCGCATGGGGATGGGGGAACCCGCGGCCCGCGCCGCTTTTATAAGACCGGCGACCTGGTCCAGTACCAGCCGGAAGACGGATCCCTGCTGTATCTCGGCCGCAAGGATACGCAGGTCAAGATACGCGGCCAGAGAGTCGAGTTGGGCGAGGTAGAGCACCGCATCAAGGCTGCGCTTCCTGGCGGCGTGGGCGTGGTAGTGGACGTTTTCACGCCGGCGGATGAGGGATCCGTGCCCATGCTCGCGGCTTTCCTCCAACGGGCCTTCGAATCCGAATCCGTGCCTATGATGCCTGTGAGCACGCTGTTCGCCTCGCCTACCAAGTCCTTCCACTCCCTCGTAGAGATGACCCTGCTGCCGCGCCTGCGCGAGACGCTGACCTCGGCCATGCTACCGGCCGTGTTCTTCCCCGTCGTCCACATCCCCCTCTCCGCAACGGGCAAGGCCGATCGCCGGACACTGAAACAGGCGGCCTCGTGCCTTACACAGGCCGACGTGCGCCGGTACATGCTAGCGGAAAAGAGCAAACGAGCGACCCCGGCCTCGGCCACGGAGAGGCTGGTGCAGTCCATCTGCAGCCGCGTGCTGGGAATGCCGGTCGAGGATATCGGAATGAACGACGGGTTCGTACAGCTCGGCGGGCACTCGATCTCGGCGATACATTTCACGGGTCATGTTCGGTCGGCTGGCTGGCGTGTGGAACTGGCGCATGTTCTCGCTGAGCCGACGCTAGCGGGCCTGGCTGCCAAGTTGCGCCCGGGGACGACGGCTACAACAGCGGCCTCCTTGTCACTTGTTGCTCCTTTCAGCCTCGTGGGTGGCAGTGGGCAGGAGAAGAATGCTGCCTCCGACATGCGGCGCTGGGCGGCCGACGCGTGTTCGGTGACCGTCGACGACATCGAGGACGTCTATCCGGCCACGGCGCTCCAAGCAGGCCTACTGGCCTTGAGTCTCAAGCGTCCCGGCTCCTACCAAGCCCACATCTACCTGAAACCCACAACGGCGGACGGTGGTGACATGGAGAAGCTCAAGCGGGCGTGGGAAGCCACCGTGGAGGCACACGGGATCCTGCGCACCAGGTTCTTCCAGGGCACTGACGGCGAGCTGTATCAAGCTGTTGTCAGAAATACCGGGGGGGTGAGGTGGTGCAACGGCAACGCAACAAGTGGTGGCGATATGGACGGCCTTACAGTGACTCTCGGTGGCGTTCTTTGCCGCGCAACGGTGGTTCAGGAAGAGGAGGGACAGGCCGGACAGGCCGGACAGGCCGCAATGGTGGTGCTCACGCTTCACCACGCACTCTACGACGGTTGGTCACTCCCGCTGCTTTTTCAGGACCTCCGCTCGGCATTCCTCGGCCATACGATTACCTCGCCGCCGCCTTCATTCAACGGATTCGTGGCATACCTACGCCAACAGGACGTCGCCGAGATGTCTGACTTCTGGACGGGCGAGATGCAAGGCCTGTCGTGCACTCCGTTCCCCAGGCTGCCCACCGTCCAATACGTCCCATCGGCCACTTCGGTCCTGGAGCACACGCTGGACTTTGATCACCACGCTGGCAGTGGCACCGAGCAGCAGCAGCAGCAGCAGCAGCAGCAGTTCACAGCCTCGACGATGCTGCGCCTGGCATGGGCAACCGTCATCGCGGCCTACACAGGCGGGTCCGGCGACGTCGTCTTCGGTACCACGGTGGCAGGCCGCAGCGCGCCGGTCCCCGGGATCGAGGCCATGACGGGTCCCACCATCGCGACGGTGCCGTTCCGCGTGCGGATCGACCCGGCGCAGCGCACGTACGACGCTCTCGAGACGCTACGTGCGCGCAGCGCCCAGATGATGCGCTTCGAGCAGGCGGGACTGCAGCAGATCCGCACATTTAGCCCCGAGGCGGGCGTGGCGTGCCAGTTCCAGAGCTTGCTCATCATCCAGCAGGGGATGGAGGCCATGGACATGGACATGGAGTCTCAGTCGCCTGAAAACAAAAAGTCGGGCGGGTGGTTGGAAATCGACGCCGCGTCGGCGAATCACGACACGGCCTTCTCGTCGTACGCCATCAATATCACCTGCGAACTGTCGTCGTCCTCCATCAAATTCAACGTCGCTTACGACGCAGCCGTCACTGCGCCCGAAGTCATGAAGATGATGCTCTTCCAGATGGCGCACGCCACGTCCCAGATCAGGATGATGGCTGCCAAAAACAACAACAACAACAACAACAAATACACGCTGGTAAGAGATGCCATGAGCATCAGCCCGGAGGGCATGGCGGCCTTGTCGCGGTGGAACACGATCCCCTCGCCACAACCTGTTGATGATGCTGGGGGGGCTGGTTATGGTAACATGGAGGCGAGGTGTGTCCATGACATGATCTTGCGCCACAGCAAGAACACCCCTGACGCGGTGGCCGTCAAAGCGTGGGACGGGGAGTTGACGTACGCGCAGCTCGCGGCGCTGTCGGTGCGGGTGGCGGCCTCGTTGAGAAGACATGGTTGGTCTCCGAAGAAGAGCCGCGATGATCATGAGCCCATCGTGCCCTTGCTGTTCGAAAAGTCCATGTGGACGGTCGTCGGCATTCTCGGCACCCTCCGGGCTGGAGCGGCCTTTCTCCTGCTGGACCCAGACCAGCCCGCGGCACGTCTGCGTTTGCTGTGTGAGGCCGTTGGTGCCGAGGTTGTGCTGGCCTCGCAGCGGCTGGCGTCGTTGGCTGCTGCCGTGGCTCCGGATGCGGCGGTGCAGGTCTGTTCCGGCGCGGCAGTTGCGGCAGTTGCGGCAGTTGCTGGCGAGGAGCCCACGCCGGAGCCCACGCCGCCGCTTAGTCTTACTCCTTCGGAAGAGTCGGCTCAGTCGGGTTCCGACCCGAGCCGCCTTCTATACTGTGTCTTCACCAGCGGATCAACAGGAACGCCCAAGGGCGTGCTGATTGAGCACGGCTCATTCTGCGCGAGCATTGCTGGCGTGTGCCGTATCCTCCCCTTTGGGCCCACGACACGTGTCTTTCAGTTTGCTTCGTACGCCTTCGACGTCGGCATCACTGACCATCTTGTCCCCTTGATGGTAGGTGGCAGCATTTACATCGCGCGGCCAGAGGATGTCAAGGACAACTTTGCAGCCTGCGTGCGCGCGTCCGAGGCCACGTACCTGGAGCTCGTCCCATCCGTCGCACGAACACTGGACAAGGAAGCCTCAGCGAGACTGCAGGTCCTGGCGCTCAGCGGCGAGGCCAAGACGGCCGCGGACGTGGAGCGATGGAAGGGCCGCCTGGTGAGCGGGTACGGGCCGGCCGAATGCTCGGCCACCACCCACGTCCAGTTCCCCGTCACGGCCGAGGACCACCCACAGGCGCTCGGCGTGGCCACGGGCGGCGCCGGCTGGGTTGTTCAGCCCGATGACGTGGAGCGGCTGGTGCCCGTAGGCGCCGTGGGCGAGCTGATCATCGAAGGCCCGATTGTGGGCCGCGGGTACTTGAGGGATCCCGAGCGGACGGCTGCCGCCTTTCTGCCCCCGATGCAATGGCTCCAGCGTCTCCGAGCTGCAGGTGGTAGTGGTGGTAGTGATGGTAGTGGTGGTACGAAGCCTCGAGTATATCGAACCGGAGACCTTGTCCAGCTGTTGCCCGATGGACAACTGCGATTCGTCGGTCGAAAAGATCATCAGGTCAAAGTCCGAGGTCAGAGAGTCGAGCTGGGTGAGGTTGAAACCTACCTTCATCCTCTCTTTCCCCGGGCGACAAACATCATTGCTGAGGTTCTCAAGCCGCTCGGCCTAGAGGACCAAGCCTTTCTTGCTGCCTTTGTGGATTTGCCTGGTCATCATCATCATCATCATCATCATCATCATCATGGGCAAACTAATGGACATGTCGGCGATGTCGGCGAGGCAGAGATGGTGCTCCTGCCGCCGAGCGACTCGTTCCTGGCCGAGGTCCGTCAAGCGGAGCGACAACTCCGGGATGCGGTCCCAGCCTCCATGATCCCGGCCTTGTTTCTACCCGTGAGCCACTTCAAGCTGTCCACTTCCGACAAGGTCGACAGGAGAGCGCTGCGCGCGCTAGGCAACCAGCGGACATGGAAGGAACTGCAGGCCTATACCAACACGCGGGGGCCCAGGCGTGGCCCGGCAACGGAGACGCAACAGGCCCTCGTGCTCCTCTGTGCCGAGGTCTTGAACGCGGACCCCAAAGAGATTAGCATGGATGACGGATTCCTGTCGCTGGGCGGCGACTCCATCAGTGCTATGTCGCTGGTGGCCCGCGGAAATGCCCAAGGCATCCGCCTCACGGTGGCTGATGTACTGAGCCAGTCCTCCCTCGAAAAGCTTGCGGCGCGGGCGCTGGCGCGGGCGCGGGCCCAGATGGACAAGGACCACAACAACAACATCGCGGTGTTGCCGGCGGTGGTATTATCGCACCCGCGCCCCGAGGAAACGCCAACGCCCGGAGTGCCCTTCGCCCTGGCCCCCATCCAAAGGATGTTCTTCGCCGTCATGCCTCTCGACCTCCTGAACCACTTCAACCAGAGCTTTTTCGTCGCACTCACCCAACGTGTCGCGCCGGATCGTGTGAAATCGGCCGTCCATGTGCTCTTGCGACGCCACGCCATGTTGCGATGCAGCTTCCAGCAGATCAATGGCGAATGGATGCAGACCGTCCCGTCCGAGCCGCCGCTCGCGCCTCTGTTCCAGAACTTCCAGGTGTCCAGTGTGCCCAACCTCGCGGCTGTGGAACAGAGGGTGCTGGAGACGCAGCGGAGCTTGGACATCACAAAGGGTCTTTTGTTCTCCGTCCACCTTTTCGAGATGGAACAGCAGCAAGGACAGCACCAAGGACAGCACCAAGGGCAGCAGTGTTTGCTGTTGGTAGCGCACCACCTGGTGGTAGATCATGTGGCGTGGCGCGTCATTCTCGCGGACCTGGAGCACCTTCTTGTTGGCCAGGATGGCAAAGATTCTCCGTCTACGTCTACTTCCTTGTCCTTCCAGACATGGTGCCAGCTTCAGGAACGATACGTCCGTGAACGCCTGCAGCTCCCGTTGCCAAGCACAAGCACAAGCACAAGCACAAGCACAAGCACAAGCACAAGCACAAGCACAAGCAC